GCCTACCAGGTCTTTCCTTATGTTAGAGCTGTCGACAGCTAGTATTTGAGACAGTAACAATATCTTTTCGATATCTTTGTCAGAGCTCGGTGTCACCCTTAATGGAGATGGATTACATTGACTTGCCTGAAGACGTCTATGAAGTTTTCATAATTTTGCTGACTTTATGTCAATCCCTAATTTATTGCATAAAGCAGACCACCATTCTTGATCAAACAATGCCCTTTGTTCAAGAAAACTGTTGTTGCACACTGGTACATTAAACTGGATAAGAAAGTTTGATCGACTGACCGTGGACTTAGGTTTAGTATTTGGCAACCTGTCATCCTTTGGGAGGTCGGTGACCCTAGACTCCATTAGGGTATGATTAATCTGTGTCATGCTGCTATGCCTGCTAGTGGATACAAGTGATCCTTTTACGATTCCGGATTCCCTGCTGCTCCTACCATAGTATTTCCAGCGCTTTGTTAGTCGAAAGACAGTGCACTCATCGCATGCAAAATCTGCATTAAATAGCTGGGCCGCTTTTACAAGCAACAACACTACAGACCTGGCACCCGTCTTCTTTTCCAGAAAACACATTCGACGTCTTAAGATGTCCTCAGTGTTTCTTTTTGGTTTTTCTGTGTGCGACACAATGGCTCCTTATTGGTTCCGCCGTAGTATGTTGTCAAAATGGCTTTACCTGCATACTTCCTTTAGTGCCCAACTGTGGTAACGAAGGCACATCATCAGGGCAGGAGATATATACGTGGGTATATACCTAAGAACGGTATACTAGGTAGTGCTAATACAGCTGGATTATTTCTTCCCCTTGCTGAAGCCCTTTTCACTACAGAACGTGATGTCTTAGTTCTCTTTTCAAGAATAGTTTCAACTGTCATATTGCTAATTATTACTAATTATGCTTAAATATGAATAAGAGATAGCAGCAGTGTCTGCCAAATAGAACAAGAACAAAAAGAGCTAAAAAAGTATGAGAAAAAAGTCTTCTAACATTACATAGAAATTTCAGGCCATTTAACTTCACGGAAATTTTGTGGCAGACCAATAAGTCTTGTTTATCTGATTAAGTGGGGAAAATGCTTCTACGAAGGTGGGACCTGAAGCTTTGGCAGTAGTTCGAGACAACTGGAATTATCGCACAAAGATTCAGTGTGGAAGTAAAGGGTTGAATTTGGTCCACCGGCTGGGAAGATCAGGTTTCCCAAGTGAATAATTCACAAAATAGTTATTCTGTGGTTAGAGAGGAAAAGGTAAGTTGAATTCAAAGGGCGTGCTATTATGATTATGACAACCGTCCCGTTGGTTTCCGAGGCAAATACTGGGCTTCGGCAGAACGTCTAAACTCCGTCATATTCTCCGTAGTCCTCTTTAGCTGGCCTCATGACTGACCATGGTCTCTCACATCCCACTAACATGATCACTTCCATGCCACTCTTAGACGCATACTCAATTCGTCATTTCCCATTAGGGTTTCACTCGAGGCAAGGGCCTGGAGTGTGATTTCACACGACAGTCTCCTCAGCGTGTACCCAATTCATCCTCATTTTCTTGCACATGTTTGTTGAACAATTGGTTCTTTGTTGATTTGTTCCCACTGTTTCGTCTTACTAATCCTGCCTTATGGGCAATCTGTCCTTCAGTATGAAGACAGTGAAAGTAATCATTGATAAAAGTCTGAAGTAGCTGAAATAACATTGGCGTTGAAAACGCGAAATTTTCTTTTTATGCAGAATGCGTTAGATTTCCAAACTGATTTCAGAATGATAAAGGTCTGTCTAATCTGTCTGATTCTGATTTTGACGTCGCCGTCTGTGTTGTCGCCTGTAGTTGAAAGGATTTCGCTCAGATAAGTGGAGGGAGTGATCTCTTCCAAAGTTCCTCCGTTGTTAGTGACTGTTGCTTTTTATTGTTGTGGTTATTTTTTTATCTTCATCACCTCTATCTTCTCTATGCCCATTTGAAACCCTGTAATTACTGCATGTTTCCTCTGCTACCTTGTTGGTTTTCGTCTGTGGATTGTTGACGCGGTACGTTAGAATTTGGTGGCACTTTTGCACGTGTTCTCGCTCATATTCATTCATTGCATTCTACTATATTATCATGAATAATAATGGGCCAAAACTCTAAAATGCGTGTTCTTAGGAACAGCATTTACTTAGAAAATAGCTTGAGCTCTTCTAGTAACTCGTTACCATCCCTTAAATGAATTGTTATTAGTAGTTCACCCAATATAAACGGTTCCAACATAATGCTAGCCCCTGTAATAAAGGTGGAAGATATCCCGTCAGAAAAGACAGAGATTTCTAACTTAATCTGCATCGAAAACGACATGCAGCTGAAAATAAATGAATTCAGGACGAAACTAGGTCTACTTAACCTCGTACCAGAACTTGAGGAAAATAAAGCCCTAGGAGCACCTCTAAAACTTAGGAACTCTGCATGATCTTGCAAAAACGACTGACGAAGGGTAAAGACAACAACGTTAGCCACTTGGAACACGTAGGTGCAATTTATGATGATCTCCAGATTATCGGTGAACTCCCTAGCCAGTGGTTCTCTAATGACACCTAAACGCATCCGTCCATAACTCTCGACATAACCTGAGAAAATAACTACTTGTTAGCTGACATCTGTGTTGAGTCTCTTGCAGATGATATTGCTAAACTCAATGTTGCCGGTAAACTAACTAACGTTTTACAGGCCATTTTTGTGCTTTTGTGAATAGCCCATCATATCGTGCACATCGGTGGCACAGTGGTTAGGACTCTCGGAGACCATGCACATGGTCCGGGGTTCGATCCCCTGCCGACGCACACCCGATATCTATGGTCGGCCTGCGAAATTTGGGCTAGCGATATACATGCTGAAAATGCCATACTTGTACTGAAAATACGGTGTGGCATGAAGCTGTAATCAAAAAAATAATAAATCGGCTAGATGTAAAGCAGACTTCGGTTGTTACGCGCGTTTTCGACAAATTCAAACAATAATGGTGCCTAGGATTATACCATATAAATTGTTTTAACCTATGTAAAGTGTGCTTAATGACATTATTACATTAACTTTTCTTGTATATATATATATATGTGTATCCTGTGTCAGTGAAAGATTGTAAATATGTATACTCCATGCATGTATTACTTATCATATGGATGATGCCTGTAAACTGGCTTCCCTCATGTAGTTAAAGTAGGAATAAATAAAAGGAAACAAAAGAAGGTCTTCGAGTTTGTGTGATGTGGGACATTAATAATTCGCGAAGTTGAGATCCCCTAAAGTTTTCATTTTGGTTCAACGCAATCTTGTCTTCGTGGTCCCCACCCATGGCTTTCCGCATAATCCAGATCACCATAATTGAGAATATCATAGGTGATAGTAGCCAGGCTCCTGTCGTCACTGTAAATACCTCGCTGAGTTTCCCGTCGTGGGTCCCAGAACTCTTATCCACTTCTTCATTCATTGCGATGTATATTGCACTCATCCTCTCTTTCTTTTGTAAATGTTTGCAGTGGTCCATCTTCAATTTCAACATCCTCCTCTCTTCTATTATCTAACAGGTGTCCTTAGAGAAATGTCTCTAGCCTTGCCTCTTCTTCCTTCCTAAAACAGCCGTACATGTTTTCTTGAACGTCACCGCCACAGAGTCCTAGCGTTCTTCCAAATGTGTTTCCTCAGTGATGCTACATAGTTTCGCCAACTGCGTTTTAACGGCGGCAGCGAATGAGTCTCTTGCAGTTTCGCTTCTCAGTTTCTAAGTGTTGAGCTTGAATTGTGGTCTGTCTGAGGTAGTTTTGAAAGTTTTCAGCCTGATCCTGATGGTTTAATGCACTAGATAATGGTCTGAGCCCATATTTGCTCCTATCTCCGACTTTGTGTCCAGCAGACCACTTCTTCGCTTTCTTCAGATTGACATGAAGTTTAGCTGGCTTTTGATGAAATCCACGTCACTTTTTGTAAATCCTTGTGGTTGTACACGCTTCAATCATCAAATCATTGGAGACACAGAAGTATCTGAAGAGTTCCTTGTTCCCCTTCATTTTCTAGGAGGTTCCCTATCCATGACTAACTCTTTTCCTGCATTGTCTGCTCCTAGTCTAGCAGTCATAAGGATTTTGATGTCGCCATTTTTGTACATTATTGTTTGCAGCTGTTAATAGAAATCTCCTTTATTCTCTTGTTTTGAGTTGTTTGTAAGCACGTAGCATTTGATATTTATAAGTTTTTCGCCTTCTGGGTTGAATCTCGTAACATTCTTGCAGAGGACTGGTTCCCATTGAAAAAGAGCTTGGGCTGCTGCTTCCAGCATAAGACACTGGAAGGCGTTATTTTGACGCAACAACTAGGCAGAGTTCCTAAACCTGTCTAGCCAGCAAATTACCATATAAAAAAGCTGGAATAAAAACGCCGAACTATTGAAAAATATGCCCAGAAAGGAACACCTCCATAGAATAAATTTGAAGACTGTTTTCAGAATAAGTGTTTACTCAAACTATCCGGTTATCACGTTTACTGCAGAGAATCCTAGAATCTGCATGCTCACAAACACGAATGCGGCTCCAAAAAGGGGAGTAGCCAGCTTGGATGCACACTCCTTAAGGCTACTCTACTTTCATTTATCAGCATTTGAAGTTAAAACTAAACGTTTGAATGATGAGCTGGTAAGACGATATTTATTATATTTCATTATAGCTTGGTTATACACAGTATTTTGGCACAAGTGTGGAGTTTTCAGCATGTGGTATCGGTAGCCAAAATTTAGCAGGCCGACCGTTGATATCAGGTGTGCGTCGGCCGGGGATCGAACTTCGGACCATGTGCATGGTCGGCGAGCGTCCTTACCGCTGTGCTACCGACGCACCGAGTTGAAAAGGGTTTAGTACACTGAAAGGAAGAAAAAAATAAAACAGCCTTCTGCTCTTAACACAGCGTTGAGGTACTGCATGCTTTTAGTGACATTGTACTTAGGTGCAGAGGATCGTTGGACATAGAAATAGGGTTAGTGGTTCAAATTACTACGCTACTCGTATTTGGAGTTGTCACTACCTTGTAATGTAAGTTGATTTATGTGTGACATTTGAGATGTAGAAACTTTATTTTCAGTTTAAAATTTTTTTTGTTAAGATAAGACGTCGGCTTTTTGGGTTAAAATGTATATATCATCGTTTTTTCACTATTTCTTCTCATTTGATTTACTAAAGCCAATAAATATAGAAAAATTGCATGTGTTAAAATAAAGTATATACTGTCAACGGACGGTATATTAGTTGTGTTATGAATATATATGTGCTCACATATGTGTCTATGTACATTTCGTTTGATTTCCATATAATTATAATTATGTGTTTTTTATGGCTTTTTCCATTCGACATATTCCCGGAGAATCCACAGAATTCGTATGGCGCTGTAAAGACAATTTCGTTCATGTAGTAGGGTCATATACTCTTATAAGGAGGAATAACTGCAGTAATTTCAGTGATAAGTCAAATCTCGACTTTTTCTAAAAATGAAAACCCATTTCACTCATGCTGGAACACATTATTCCCCTCATTTCTTCAGTGTTGCAGTTGTATATTCTTATGATAGTCTACATTTTTCATTTCTATATCAATAGAGAAATGTCCGTCTAGACAGGCAATATAATGAAGAGAACGTAAAATATTTATCCTCCTCTTAAGTATAATATGTCGTCTCTGTTAAGCACTTCATGAGTCAATTTTCAGGATAACACCTAAACTCTTTTGTTTTATCCTGTTTACTCTACAAAAGATTTGCTGTGATTGGTCATCTAGAGAAATAGCTGTCATAAAGGCTATTTGAACGTTTTCAGATAGTCTTTTCTAGTTCATTACATTGTATTCTGGCATATAAATATATATATATTTACAACCAGGTTATTTTGAAATACATTGTGCTGAATACTTAACTGTTCGTCATGTGTTATCTTACGCCTTAAGTTTATCTCTTTGTTTGTACAGACCATGCTCTGCTATTCTGTGCGCAATACTAATGAACTCCTTTTTCAATCTAAAACATCTGATTTAGTTAGCTAAAGCTGTCAACAGATCCAAGTGACTCTAGATGATATTTGCGCTAAAATACATTGAAGTAAATACCAATAATCAATATAACAGTATCACAAAGACGGGAAGAATTATTATTAGGTGGGAAAATAAGATGTCATGCTTATGATGTCTAAAAGTCAGAAACACCGCTATGGTTACATGCGCCATTCTAGATCATCTCTGTTGCTGTCATAACACAGCCGTTAAGTTGCAGTTTACAACTCTTTGGTACGTAGGCTTTCTCTCAATATCTACGTAACTTCGTCCGCCTCAGCTTAAGATTCCCATCTACCCGTGATGTTTACCATTACTGTCTCTGGCAGACTATTGGATATTTCCAAAGTTCGATGAAGCGTAACTGAAGAAGGTGGAGGTCTTTAGTCAGTAACGGAAGTCATTTCAGAACATGGACTGAGGTACATGTAACGTATGTCATCGCGGTAGCTCCCTTACTATTTATCATTGTTGTTGATCGTAAGACGAATGGTGGTCGTCCATTGAAGAGCTGTTGACGTATATAGCTCAGAATAAAAATCATGTATTATCATGTTACAGTCTCCTCAACTGACAACAGTAGAACTAGATGATGAAATCTCCCTTAAATAAGCTGATACAATTTTAATCATCGAATGACTTCAAGTAATTCTGGATTAGTAGGATGTAGCAAGACTCGCCTAGGGGCTTGTATGCTCTGCAATCCAATAGTAAACGTGTACGTCTCTGTCTTTTCCACGTTACCTAAGTTTCTAAATGCATTGGTGCTGTTTAGCTTTAGTTCGAAGTCCCATGTCAGCCGATGTCGTTAAGGGTGACGTAAGTTTGTGGTGGGTGACAGATGGTGGCATCTATTCAATCACTGTATGTCTTCTCAGTAACACTAGCCCTATTATCAGTAATTAAGGTATCAGTTATTCTCTCACAATAAAATCCTCTGTATCTCTGAATATTGCTTGTCATATGCAATAAAATTCCAAAGTAATTATGACACCATGATTTCAAGAAAATATTCGGACTGTCTGCATACATACAAAACAACATCTCACTAGACATATGCCATAGACTTCACAATAATTTTCAACATAAAACTTTCTTGAAGCAACTTGACAAATCCCTTAACAGTATTCGTCGTTAAAAGTGCTTAGGCCACTAATGCCCAGCGATTTTTATAGACTGTGACCTACGGAAATCTGCAGTGTCTTCTCCTGACACGAATAATTAAACAGACTTATAATTATTATTATTGTTCCCTTGGGTTCCTAGTGGAACATAGGACTTCAACTGCACGTCTCCACTTGTTCCTGTCTTCTGCTGTACTGTTCACCTGCATCCATGTTAGTCCGTACTGTTTCAAATCCTCTTCACACGATCTCCTCCATGTCACCCTTGGACATCCCACTCGCCGCTTCCCTTTCGGGTTCCACTCGAGCGTTGGCCTGACGCGCGATGTCACCCAACGGCCTCCTCAGCGAGTGTCCAATCCATCTCCACTTTCTCCTGCCTATTAGTTGGGCGATCGGTTCTTGTTTTGCTTGTTCCCTTAGTTTCTTGTTGGCGATTCTTTCCGGCCGGCCATCTGATCTTAAGTATAGAGCGAAGACAGTTGTTGATAAAGGTCTGCAACCTGTTGAAAGTATTCTTTGTGACACACTGGCCAAGTTTCTGATCCGTATAGAAGAACTGACTGACTTGACGTTTGTATTGAAAATCCGAATTTTGTTGTTGATGCAGGCTGAGTGACGAAGATTTCCAGATTAGTTTCAGGTTGATGAATGTGTTTCTCGCCTTCCTGATTCTCGATTTGACATCCTCATCCGTTCCTCCTGTAGTTGAGACAATGCTCCCTAGACGATAAGTGAATGAAGTAACCTCTTTCAAATCCCTCCCGTTGATGGTGATTGGCGCTGGATGTTGCTGCTGCTGCTGCTGTTGTTGTTGGTTACTTTCATAACCTCCGTCTTGTCTATGTTCACCTGGAGTCCTGTCTTCTCTGGCTGCTTCTTCGACCAGTTTGTCGGTTTTCGCTTGTAAGTCTCCGATTTTGTGTGACATCAAACATAAGTCATCCGCGAAATCCAGGTCTTGTAGGTTCTTCACTTCGGTCCAGGATATCCCTGTCTTCTCGTTTCCCACTGTCTGACGCATAATCCGGTCCACCACAATTAGGAATATCATTGGTGATAATAAGCACCCTTGTTTGAATCCTGTGTTTACTCCAAACGCCTCGCTGAGTTTTCCGTTGTGGATCACTTGACATGTGCCGTTGTCGCACAGCTGTTGAATAAGGTTGATGAATATTTGGGGTAAATTAAACGAACTGGTTCCCTTTTAATTCCTAAAAGTGACAATCATTTCATTTTACTCAATACATCAAACGAATGTGACAAGTCTCAGTAGTCAGATCTTTTGGATATCTGATGACAGTATTTACATACCGTACAGCCAAAAGCTTGTAATCTCTTCACGCTGTTCGCCTTCAGTAACGATTTCTAATAACTTTAAAAAAGGTAGAACCAAGCAAACTACTTCTCAATACTTAATGTGTATCATATCGAACAAAATCACTTTGATATGAAGTCACTCTCTACCACAGTGCCATAAACTTTCTTCTTAAATTAATCTAGTCGAAACAGTTGAAGCGATCGAAGGTTCCAACCAGTTTTGACTGCTTATCCTGTAACTGGCAAACCAATCATGCATTATTATTTTGTGTTTGACGGACAAAATACATGCTGAAATAATTTCTCACATTGTTTAGGAAAACTGTATTTACCACCTTATATCAAGAAAAGTAAGTACCAGTCTCCTAGAATAACAAAGGAGTCACTGAGTCACCTGCTGGTTGAGTTATATTTCATTTCTGTCCTGTTACACTAGTGGTCATCATTTCCTCAATCAGTTAATGTGTTCCAGGTATTCCTTAGTGTAAATTTGTGGTATATATAAACTGTTTAATCCTGTATAGTCTATTTTCTTCATACTTTAATTGAACTTCTTGATAAACATAGTGACTCACTCTTTTCTGGTTTATGCTGCTTTTTCATATTTAGTAAATTACAATGACAACTCCTACACTAATACTTGATATGGGTGGCGGATCTTTAAAAATTGGATTTTCCACAGATTCTGAACCAAAGTAGGTCAGTCTATTTTGTATTTTATTGAAATTTCTTTTCTTCTTCTCTCAAAAGAGTAGTGGACAATTGTATTTTCAAGTCAAAAACACTCTCTGGTCGTACATTCATTGGAAATGAAATTGAACAGTGCAATAATTTATCAAGTTTATTTTGTGTTATGCCATTTAAAAAAGTGAGTAATACACCTTAAGCATAGGTGTGGAAAAAAGCTTTTGTTTAGAGAACCTCAGTTTGAGAGAATTTTTTCACTTGTCTTCGTTAATTATTCCTTTTTCAGGGTACCTAAATCCACTTGTATATGTATCACTGATAATACATTAAGTACTTTCCGGATAAAATGTAGCTCTACACCACATACAATTCAGTTCCTCAAATTTCGGGGTGTGTCACCCAGCTTATAGGTAAAATACTGAAAACTGTTCGCCTCCTTATTATTATTATTATTATTACTGACTGGCACCATCCTTAAACCCTTAATGTGCGCTCCTGCGTTCTGTCTCCTATGTTACGTGGTTATTATAGGATGAGTAATATTGAGGCTAGGCGTCGAGTGTTAGGTAAGGAGGGAATATCAATCGATGAGGTCGTGAAGCTATATTGATTGAGATAGTTAGGACATGTGTTACTCATACCTAGCCATCTCCTTCCTTGACAACGGGTAATGTTAGCTGACATAGGATCAGGTTCAAAAAGAACGTATTGGTGGCCAAACCAAAACTTGGAGTTGGTCCGTGAAATCTACAACAGTTAGTTAGAGCCACATAGGGAGGTGTAGGCTTCCTGGTTAGTGTCGTCGGTATTCTAAGAATCAATGGCTGTAGACAATTAGTGATACGGCTCAAAATCTTCATTTTCAATGGCTCAGATGCATTCACTTTATGATTTCCCATACCTATTAAACTTTATTGTTTTCCAAATCACTATTCTGTCTCCCTGTCACATTTCTTCTCACTGTAGTTCTTTTGAATCTCTTTTCTCTCCTTTGTGTGCTACAAAGTGTGTAGCAGCTCGAATTGATGTGCTTCATTGCAACGTTCTATATTGAAACCAGTCAGTGTATTCTATCTTATTGGTTTAATCATGTGCGAAATCTTTTTAAATAATAAATCTATATCTGCTTTTCTTATCGGTTCATCATACTTATTGAATCGATATACTTCTCTTCAGTCGTCAAGACTTAACAGTCCACTAAATATCCCTTCAATTTTGGTTTTAGAATAGATTCTTTTGTCACAGTGTGTGTGTGTGTATTGAGGCTGTTAAAATATCTCAAAATGGTTAAGGTAGTTAGCCAGGGGAAAAAAACTTGTGAGTTGATCGTGATCCATATGACTTCTTTTCAAACATGTTGGTTTCAGTTGCTGAGACCATGTTGTAGATAAGAGATCTGAGTAGTTTAATTTTAAAAATTAACCCCCTTCCACACACACACACCAAAAGTCTAGATGTTATCACTCTCTAATAAACCTTTAATGCTAATTTTTTGGGTTTTATAGATGTTGTCAGTTCCTTGTTTCTTCTTCATTTCCTTTTTTTAAAATATTTTTGTCTGTCTTGTCTTGACGACTGAAAAACAAAAGCGCGTCATTAAGCGTTGTACGGAGCTCTTCTCGTTGTTAATAAAACATCTCTCAGTTTAAATTTTATTTAAAATTGTGTCAAATTGAAAAAAATGTCTTTCTCTAACACACTCGTATAGTAATTTTCAGCCGAAAAACAAAATACCGACAGTATTTATTCGAAATTACAAACATTTACTTGAATTTTCTGTCAGCTACAAGCAAACTGATAACGTTGGAAATTTAAAGTATCCAAAATCTTGGAAGTGAAAGAGAAGTAAGACTATTTGATAGAAGTTAGAATTCATGGGCTAGTCATTGGGTTCCATTCCAGTGGCCAGATGGTCAACGAGCTCGGCTTGTAACCTAAATGTCCTGGGGTTTCAATCCCCACCGGTGGGACCATGTGTGTGTGCTGATGAAAAGCCACACACTAGGACGAAATAGCTGTCCAGTATTTCCTGCTGGTTTTCAATGTTTCTCCCACTAACTTATATCAATCCTTGATCAAACACGAAGCAGAAAGTCTTTCATAATGATTATTTGCTTGAACTCGATTGATAAATTCCATTTCCACTCTATTGAACTGCATATTTCAGTGGAGTTAAATTTTCAGCACACAATTCAGCTAGGCATCTGTAACACATGTCCTAGCCATCGCTTTCCTCGACGGGCAGTGTTAGCTGACATAGGATTAGGTTCAAAAGGAGAGTATCGGTGGCCATACCAAAACTTGGAGTCGGCCCATGAAATCTACAACAATTAGTTTGAACCATATAGGGAGGTGTACTAAGCCGCATCATCCTGGAGAGAATCAAACAAGCCCTGGATGAAAAACTTCGAACGGAACAGGCTGGATTCAGGAGAAACAAGTCATGCATTGATCAGATCGCCACATTACGGATCATTATTGAACAAAGCCTGGAATGGCAGTCACCTCTCTATCTCAACTTCATCGACTTTGAAAAGGTCTTCGACAATGTTGATCGAGAGGTGATTTGGAAAATACTTCGCTTCTACGGAGTGCCGTCAACAATTATACATCTCATCCAACAGCTGTACGACAATGCTGTATGCCAAGTAATCCACAACGGGAAACTTACGGAATCCTTCGAAGTGAGGACAGGAGTAAGACAAGCTGGCTGCCTACTATCGCCAATGATTTTCCTGATTGCAGTAGATTGGATAATGCGACGAACAGCGGGCAAGGAGGAAACAGACATAAAATGGACTCACACAAAAAACTTGGAGGATCTGGACTTCGCCGATAATATGTGTCTGATTTCCCACAAACTGGAAGATATGCAAGCGAAAAGCAACAAGTTGGCAGAAGAAGCATCAAAGATAGGACTTAAGGTGAACATAGAGAAAACAGAGGTGATGAAGATTCCTGGACAAGAACAACAATAGACAACAATCAGCATAAATGGAAGGAACCTGAAAGAAACAACCTCTTTTACCTACCTGGGAAGCATCGTTTCAACTACAGGCTGACGGAACTGACGAGGATATCAAAGCAAGGATCGGAAAAGCAAGACAAGCTTTCACTACTCTCAAGTCTGTGTGGAGGTCAACAGCACTCAGCATCAAAAATAAGTCAGTGCTGCTTACTATATGGATCAGAGACTTGGCGCGTCATAAAAAGCATCTCAAGCAAACTACAGACCTTCATTAACGGTTGTCTTCGCTCAACACTCAAGATCAGATGGCTGGCCAGAAAAGATCAGCAACAGAGATCTCTGGGAGCGAACCAACCAGGAACCGATTGTGAAACAAATAGGCAGGAAGAAGTGGAGATGGATTGGCTGGCCATACTCTGAGGAAACCATCAAGTGACATCACTAGAGAAGCCATTGCTCGAGTGGAACTCGAAAGGGAAGCGGCGAGTTGGTCGTCAGTGCAAGGGTGACTTGGAGGAGGTCATGTGAAGAGGAGATGAAAGCGTGTGGGCAGACGTGGAGCCAGGTGAAGACTCTAGCAGAGAACCGAACGCAATGGAGACGCACGGTTGAAGCCCTATGTTCCTCTAGGAATTGAAGGAAACAATAGTAATAATATATAAGGAGGTGTAGGCTTCCTGGTTACTGTCATCGGAATGCTGAGAATCAATGGCTGGAGACAATTGGTGATATGGCTCAAAATCATTCCCAATGGATTACATGCATTCACTCTTTGTCACTTCCCATATCCATTAGGCTTTATTGTTCCTCTATGTTACCATTCCGTCTCCTTCATATTTATGCTTATAATTGTTCTTTTGAATCTCTTTTGTCTTCCTCTGTGTAATACATCATGAAGTGTGGCAATTTGAACTGTTGTACTTCTGAGCTAAGTTCTCTATTGAAACCAATCAGTCAGTTGAATTGCGATAGACACTTAGCGATAATGAACCTCACATCCGAACAAAATTACATGAATAAAAGTTATTTATTTATATTGAATATATTTATGTATATTTTTCGCCTTCTTTAGGGTTACATTAATAACTGGGAGGCTCAAAGTCAAATTTTGGATACAGCTTTTAAAAGCGTGTTTAAAACAAACTCGGTAAGTAACATCTTTTTTGTTTTTACAAGAAAAAGAGCGTTTTAAACATAACTAGCATCTAACTATTCAAGTATTGGTCTGTAGGGATTTAATTGATTGGTTACAGGATTTCATCGTGAGCTGACATCGGCTAGTGGTCGCGCTATATCGTGAATTGGCAGAAGTTGGAATTTGTGGGTCAGCCATTGGCTCGGGTCCCAGTGGCTTATTGGTCTACGAGCTAACTCGCCTTGCAACCAGAAAGTCTTGGGTTCGAACCCTATCGTCGGGTGTGTGCTACTGAAGAGTCCCAGATTGTTTTCCAATAGTTCTCTAACTGATTTCAGCTCATGATCAAAATCCTGTAACATCTAACTAACCAACTGAGCTTTCATTCTTTCTTTCTTTGTTTCCTTCTTCTTAAAGCAGAACTTCTCATTATCTGATCATAATCTAATCGTTACAGAACCATATTTCAATTTTTCATCAACTAAAGAAGCTATGAATGAGGTGTTCTTTGAAGACTATCAAGTTGCTGGTCTAATGCGTACTAATCGTAGGTTGTTGTTGTTGTTTTAACCTAACTGCTTTATCTTTATTATTATTATCATCATTATTATGCAGCTGCATTTTTAAGTGCCTACAAGTATCGAATTGAATCAGCTCAACGTTTATCAAGATATTGTATGGTGATTGACTCTGGTTATTCATTTACGCATATTGTACCAATGGCTGATGGACTTGTAATGAAAGAATTTGTCATGCGGTAGGTATATCTTGTTTTCTTCTGTAAGAAGGACTCTTTTCATCTATTCAAGGTTAACTGTAGGTGGAAAAATACTCACAAATCGTTTAATTGAAGCTGTATCCTATCGGTAAGCAGGTGTTGCTAATTTCTTAAACTTCTTATATATTTTTTTTTCTAAAGCCACTTAGATGTACGCAGTGAAATATACATTATGAATCAATGCAAAGAAGATGTATGCTATGTATCCGTTGATTTTTGGAAAGATATGAATATTTCTGGGTGAGTGAGTGGAGAACAAAGACTTTTTGTTTTGTGTAATACTACTTACTGTATGGTTTTTCTTACTGACATAATAATAAACGATTAAAGTTTGGTTGTAAGCCAAGCCCCTTCCCCGTGGTGGTGATACAGTTCACTGGAGTGCGTAGGCTCTATTATTTATTTATTTATTTATTTATCAGAACACAAACTTAGTACTACATTATGGGCACCAAGAAATGTGCAAGGGCTGGGATACTTCTCAGACGCTCAGGTCGCAGTAGATGGTTTTCTTGTGGAGCTACCTTCCCCCGCCCGTTCCCTGTCCCCGAGCCTTTGACTTGAAGTCGGATCCACATGACAGTGGAGCAGCAGAGTCAGGAGCTACGTTCCCATAGTTTCTGGTGACCAAAACAGGCTAATGTGCCATTCGAACCGGGTTTTTTTGGATTCTGAAGTCCATGTACACCATCATAGGTTTGGAATAATCAGGGCTTTCCACCAGCTACCCCTGGTGGCATGTCCACCAACCCAGTTGTAAGCGTCACACATTCTTAATCGACCTTTAACTTTTGTGAAGACAGTGAATAGGAATTATCTTGGAGAAGGAGACTACGAGCGCACTGTCACATGGGAGAGCATTTCGTGAGGAAAACCAAAGTGCCTACCCACCCTCGGCGGTACTTGGTTATTTATAGGGACTGGCGTAGGCAGTTTGTTCGAATGGGAGTGGGATAATTCACCAGTTGTAATAAATGACGATAGGGTAAAGTTAAACTTTAAGCACCACTAACTACCAACCAGCGAATGACCTCGAACGCACCAATCACGTGAAAGAGGCGCTTTTGTGTATGGAATACATATTTATTTATGAAAAAGATGCATAAAAACTGTAGGAAAGTGTTACAGAGGATACCTTCCTCTCACATGTGATAAAAATAGCTCTCAGTTTTAAGTTGGAGTATCAACAGAGTATAATTGCATTGTGAGTAAAATTTATTTTGATAAAATCTCATAGTGTAATACAGTAATATTTAGTGGGCAATAAAGTGTGCTCGAAACGTGGTTATCAGTAAATACTACTGTAAAACACTGTGAGACTCTTGCAAAATGAATTTTACCCACAATGGAATTATACTCTACCACAGTGCACAAGTTTTATTCTCATAGAGTAATTTAACCACATTCTATGAATGTAATTATATAGGTCTTCTAACCCTAACGTGCAAAAATCTCCCTAATCTAACTCGAACCCACCCTAACTCTAGTCCCTTGGCTTAAAGCGTACCCTAATCTTTCCCAAACCTAAGCTGCTACTTGCCAGATATCCCATTTAATAACATAACACTTCGATGAAGACTATTTTTGTTGATGATGACAGCATTATCTGCCAGGCTTCACTAACTTGCTCACTGCGCGTCTCAAGGTCATTGGTGCTGTCGCACTTGATTGGTAGTTAGTTAGTGGTGCTTAAAGTTTAACTTGGTCTAAATGACATTTGATCGTAGATTACTTAAACGTCTTTGCCACTGTATTCCCAACAGACTAGTTATGATACAGCAGGCTATATTGAAAATGGAAACTATTTTCATACTCGAATAACTGTTGAACTATTTCTTCAGTTAGAGAGCCAGTGCAAACCAGAGAGTACTGAATAGCTGTTTCGCCCTAGTTCTGTGTTCTTCAAAAGTGTATACCCAAGACGAAACCAACGGTCGAATCCATCACCTTCAGCTTATAAGGCGAACATGTTATATCATTCAGATATTGGATAGGGAATCATGACTGATAATTTCTAACTCCTGCCAATTCTCGGTCTAGTGCCACCACCATCCAATGTTATCGATGAATATCTATCCTCACATCTCACTTGGTGAACTTCATTAATTATAACTTCTCATTAGAGCACTCCAGAGAACCCGTCATATGGTCTGTCAATGGTTCTCTTTATCTGAATTCGGTTCATAACAAAATCTATCTTGTGAATATTTTCTAGTACTGGTTCGCAGGGACTTGATTGGTTAGAGGTTTGATTGTGAGCTGACATTAATCACAAAACCACTGAAAAACCAGGAAGTATCGGAAAACTGTTTCGTTTCAGCATTACGCATCCTCCTAGGCTCCAACACCAACGACCTTCAGGCTACAAGGCGAGCTCGTAGACCATTCAACTATCAGTACCCGGTAGAATGGCCCACGAATACCAACTTCTGATGCTCCTTAGTGACTGGTTCTACACACAGAAAGTTACCTGGAGTTCAAGTTACCTGAAGTTGTGACTTGATGAGTTCACTAAGTCTGGTATATATATACTATCGCGTTAAGCGAAGTGTGTCAGATTAATCCCTTAAATGGCAATCAAGAAGGAAAACGGACTTGCATGGTATAGTATACAGCATTAACTGACTGCTGTTTCGTGTTATCCTGTGTAGATGATTCGATTAGACGTTTTAAGCGTGTTCTCTGGGAACGCTCAGCTAAACACTTCCCCGTTCAGGTGATGAAAGGCGAGCATAAGATGACAAAGTCTCTCATCCGTACACAACTTCTGGAGTGGAGTCAGGTTATTCAGCTCCACGTGGTATATCCCTTAAAGTTATCTACAGTCAGTCTTCAGTCACTCTAGGAGTTTAAGTTCCCTGTACTTGTGTGTAGCCGAAGCTATACATGGACAAAAGCTTAAACCAAGTATTGAAAAACGTTTTGTTTCAACTGCTTTCTCTACTTACTACTTTGGTGGTAGTAATGTTCTTTCTAATATATATATATATATATATATAATTTTATCACTTGGATTTATTCCACTTCACCTCATCTACCTACGCCTTTTTTATTGTTATTATCATCACTGCACTTTTAGTTTTTTTTGTGGCAGTACTTGACCTACTTTCAAAATCTTGATACCGAATCATTGATTTAGTTATCTTTTTTTAAAAAAAATCTGTAATTCATTCAATTTAACTCTACCCACCTTGAATATCAATATTAACTATCTTTATTCTTATCATATATCTGTATTGACTGAGCAATATTTGGTGCTCGTCAGCTGAATACTCTACATACACGGATATATATATATACTGTTGAAATTACATTGGGAGATATAAGACTGATAAGTAAATAAACTACATTGAATTAGTCATGCAGAAAGACAGGTGCGAATGTTTTCCAGGTCATGTTCAAATAGATAAGGGGAGGGAGAGTATAAGAGATCAAAATTAAAATAAATTGCATTACGCTTCAATTACATCCCTTAGATAAACAATTAGTCATTAGAGAATATAACAAGAATTGCAAACAGAGTAATATCAATAGTAATAGTTATAATAATAATAATAATAGTGTTGAAGTGAGTTAAGATAATCCTACTAATAAAGGATAGTTTTAAATGAATCAAGAATAATAATAATAAGAGGTAGAATAATAAGTAAAATGTATTACGATGGTAGATTTAGAGTCACGACCATCTTCTTTTGTACACAGAGACCTGGTTTATAAACTCAAATTGCACAAGCCTCTGCAATCGCAAGCATCTTCTTGTTTCTCTGTCTATCTGCTGACAATAGTGAACGACTTGGCCGCGTCGATATCATGTCCGTAGTCCACAAGATGTTTTGTTATTGAGGATTTTGGCACTTTGCACTCAGCTGCTTTCAACCATTTTAGCAAATGCACTATCATGCGAGTAGACAGTCGCCTTTCCGTACGACCTTGTGGAAGCAAATACGACTGTACTGTTACTTGAAAATGAAGTCATCTCTAACTGATGTTGGTTCGTGACTCAACCTAACCATAGAAATTAATCCAATCCACAAATTCTCCATATTAATCTTTAGCTCTTTGTTTGATGGGTACTGAATGGATGGATGTCTTGAAGCTGTAGTGAGAAGTTGGGTGAAGGGGATGCTCATCAAAGGCACCGATGAGGGTAGTGCTACATCACGAATTGACAAAATTAGAAGCCAGGTATGTCGGCCGTACCCAGCGTTCGCTTTCCAAACGTATCACCGAACACTTACCAACATGGTTTTACAAAGGAGAAAATCGATGCCCCCCATGCAGCTCCATCTTAGAACATCTGATAGAATCCGGACACCAAGCTACACCGTAAACAAACTTCAAAGTCGTCTATAGAGTAAGAAGTAGTCTTTCTAAAGGTGTACGAATCAGACTTCTTCAAACTGCAGAAGCAATGGCGATTCACTCGCTAAATCCTAAACTCTGCATACAGAAGAAGTTCGTTCAATCACTACACTTGCAATGGACGTAATCTATCTTATTACCCGATAAGTAAATTCTACCTAATCTTTTTTTTCTTCTGTCTCTTCATTAGTATTATTTTGTTTTCTCAATTGTAATATCTTAAATTTTCAACTTTCTTGTTCTCTACCCTCACCCGATTAAATTTCTACACCTCACTACCACTGCTACTGACTTGACCAACACTCAATTTCTAGTCATTTATGTTAAGTCATCCAACTTATTTGCTCAGTTTTAGTCCTAATTTAAATGGCATTATTCTCTACCCCACCTCTACTTAGTCTCTACCTGTAGTTGCCTCTGTTGCTATCCTGACCTAAGATGAAACATTTTAGTTAGTTATATTACGTTATCTAACTTACTAACTCAATCTTACTTTAGTTGCTCTCCAAATGACCTTGTTTCTATATCAGATCATTCTTGTATTACCTAATTAATTATCTAAACTTGACAAACCTCATGTACACACACACAAAAGTAATCATAAATTAATGCGATTGTACAGCTATGTGAATGAATTCGCCGTCGAAAAGAGTCTCTTCGCTGAACATCTCTTTTTCAAAATTAGAATTCACGGGTCAATGAACTCCAGCCCAAGTGGCTGCATGAATGGTCAGCGAATGTGCTTGGTCGTGCTCGTAACCTGAAGGGGAAGGTCCCAGATTCGATCTCTGGTGGTAGGATCGTGAGTGTGCATTTCTGAAGAAAGTCCCAAAGTAGGGAGAAACAGGTGGCCAGTGTTCCCTGGTTTCCAATGATTTTTCCAATTGATGTGTTAGGTCGTTACGAAATCTAACAGCTGAAATATTTTCATTCGCTGAGCAAAGTATCGTGTTTTCCTCATGCACCATTCGGTATACTTCGTGAGTGATACGAGCAGTTGAAAATTACTCATTTCCAATCTATAGGTCTCTTTCTGATTAGAATGAAATAATCCTAGAACATAGACACACTTTTAGGCGTCCAACAATTGCCATATTTCTTGACTTGAAGGCGGCCTTCGACTCCGTGGATCGAAAGGTACTATGGCAATGTTTGACTGTGAAGGGAGTGTCAAGAAAGTACATTGCACTAATCAAGGCACTCTACTCAAACTCACGTAGCTGTGTAAGGGCTTATGGGGAATTGTCATCTGAATTGATAACAACCAGTGGTGTCCACTTTCCCCATTTCTGTTTAAATTCATCATAGATATGCTAATGGAAGCATCCTTAACTGAACTTAACGACTTAGGAATCGACTTGTTACCAGGGAATAGTCTTATGGACTTAGAATATGCAGATGACATAGTCCAGTTAGGGGAGGATGCTGACAAAATGCAGAGTCTTCTGAACACCTTGAGCAGCAATCTTCGTATGTTTGGTATGCGATTCGCCCCTGTAAAATGTAAGATGCTGCTACAGGACTGGACTAAGTCAACTCCTAGCTTAGTGATAGGGAGTGAAGTGATAGAACATGTTGACCACTTCACCTATTTGGGAAGTTGTATCAGCACCAACGGATTGATTGGTGACGAAATCTCAGCACGGATTCAAAAAACTCGGACTGCTTTCGCTAACTTACACCGTCTCTGGCGTAGGCGTGACTTCCGGTTATCAACCAAGGGACGTGTGTACTGCTCAGAAGTTCGCTCCGTCCTTCTCTATGGCTCTGAAACATGGCCAATACGAGTTGAAGACATGAAAAGGTTGACTGTTTTTGACCACAGATGTTTACGATCTGTTTCTCACGTTAGGTGGCATAATAACATAAGTAATGTTGACGTTAGGCGTAGAGTGTTGGGCGAAGAGGGAAAAATCAATCGACGAGGCTATAAAGTTACATAGATTGAGATGGCTAGGTCACGTGTTGGGCATACCTAACCATCGTCTCCCCCGACGGACGGGCATTACTAGCTGATATAGGTGCAGGTTGGAAAAGAGTAAGTGGTGGCCAAACAAAAACATGGCATCAATCAATCCACGAAATCCTTGTCAGTTAAACTGAGCCAGGTAGGGAGATGCAGACTTCCGGGTTGGGGCCAGCCCTCGGGACTCTAAGAATCAATGGCTGGAGACAATAGGTGACATGGCTCAAAATCGTTGTCAATGGCGCAGGTGTATTCAGTCTTTGTAATCTTTCATATTCCTTTCTACCATTACTGATTCTGTTTCTTTCTTCTACTTGTCAAAACTCTATTGATTCTCTTCACTCATTTTCTTGTCTACCTTTGTGTGGTATTTGGAACATGGCAACTGGAACTGCTGCACTTCGGTGCCACGTTCTATGTTGAGTCCAGCCAGCAGCCAGAATGAAATAATCTAAATACAGGATGATCTTTTTTAACTTGTTTTGCAGTCGAGGTCATCATCTCAGAAGGTCTCAATTAGTTGAAACCATCTGTTACTGCTTAACTTTAATCTTTGACTGATTTTCATACAGAATTAAGTACTATTATTATTATTGTCGTTATTGTTGTGAGATAAGACTTTACACCTATTGTTTTATCACATAAATAAGCTTATCTTCAAAATTAGTGAACAGTAAATATTTACAGGTTTGTTCGCAAGTTGACATTAGTTAGATAATCGTTGGGAAACCAGGGAGTGCTGGAGAGTTGCTTTCCTCTGGTCTGGAACACCTTATCAGTACGCACCCACCGGGGGTCGGTCTCAGAACCTTCCAGTTAGTTACAAGGCGAGCTCGTGATCATCCAGACATTGGGACTGGATCCAATGACCCATGAATTCCAAATTCTTGAATATCAATGAGATGCTCACCGGCGACTTGCCCTATTCAGGTCGATAGTTACCTGGGGTTCTAGTGGGAAGTCGTGACCAGTGGGATATAGCAGGTTGGGTGTGAGGACAAATACTCGCCGAAGACATTGGCTAGCGGTTGCGCTATGTCGTGAATCGGCAGAAGTTAGAATTCACGGGCTGGCCATTGGATCGGGTCTCAGTGGCTTAATGGTCTACGAGCCTGCCTTGTAACCAGAAGGTCCTGGGTTCGAACCCCGGTGAGTGCGTACGGCTGAAGAGTCCCAAACTAGGCTAGCGAAACAGCTGTCCAGTACTCCCTGCGAGTTTTCCAACTGTACTCTTACCAATGTCAGCTCGTGATGAAATCCTGTAACCAATTCCAAATTCTGCCAATTCGCGATATTTGACGTAACCACCAACCAATTTTATGGGTGAGTAACTGTCCTCTTACTAGACTTAGTGAACTGCACAAGTCACCACCTCAGGCAACTTCAACTCCAGGTAACTTCCTGTGTGTAGAGCCAGTCACTAAGGAGCATCAGAAGTTGGCATTCGTGGTCCATTTTACCGGACACTGATAGCTGAATGGTCTACGAGCTCGCTTTGTAACCTGAAGGTCGTTGGTTGGAGCCTACGAGGGTGCGTAATGCTGAAGAGTCCCAAACGGACGAAACCGTATTCCGATACTTCCTGGTTTTCCAATGGTTTTGTGATTAATGTCAGCTAGTAATCAAACCTCTAACCAATCAAGTCCTTACGAACCAGCACTAGAAAATATTCACAAGACAGATTTTGTTATGAACCGAATTCAGATAAAGAGAACCATTGACAGACCATATGACGGGTTCTCTGGAGTGTTCTAATGAGAAGTTATAATTGGTGAAGTTCACCAAATGAGATGTGAGGATAGATATTCGTCGAAACATTGGATGGTGGTGGCACTAGATCGAGAATTTGGCAGGAGTTAGAAATTATCAGCCATGACTCCCTATCCAATATCTGAATGATATAACATGTTCGCCTTATACACTGAAGGTGATGGATTCAACCGTTGGTTTCGTCTTGGGTGTGCACTTCTGAAGAGTATAGAACTAGGTCGAAACAACTATTCAGTACTACCTGGTTTCCACTGGCTCTCTAATTGACATTGCCTCATGACGAAATCTCCCCTCAAACCCAACTTTAACAAAAAGTTGTATAGACATGTAAACACTGCCTAAAGTAATCATACTTCACCGCGTAGAACGTATAATACTGCATCTGTTGCAATATATGTTGTTGAAATGTTCAAGAGTGTGTGTTTGTGTGTATGTGATTGCTGTTTTCAACTCGTACTAACTGTTATGTGTATATATATACTTTCTTTTCAATATAGGTCGAAACCAAAATCAAACAGCATATTAAGAGAATATGTATTACCCAACTATGTAGATGTCCATAGAGGATATGTTCGTGATCCGAATACTGAAGCCGCGAAAACTGGTGGAAGTGATAAGCAAGACCAACGGGCTTTAAGTCTAGCACAACAAGGATATATTTTACGTTTGAATAATGAACGTTTCACTGTCCCAGAATTACTTTTCCACCCTTCTGATGTCGGCTATAAAGAGATGGGTCTAACTGAAGCTATTCAGCATATAATGTGTGAACGGCTACCGGCTGCAGTTAGACCAGGAGCTTGGGCAAATTTCATGGTAATGGGAGGTAATGCCTGCTTCCCAGGATTAACAGAAAGACTGTAAGTGGCTACAATTTTTCTCATTGAATATTACAGTTTTTGTGGTTTCACTGAGTCAATAAGTTAATGTCTTAATTTTATGGTGCTTTTATGCATTCTTAAATAAGGGACTACGTTTTCACTCAAAAAATTATTGAAGAATCAGGTACTGTAAAGGTTGCTTCTGTAAATCAACTAAACTTTTCCTTAGATTCTCAATGAGTTACTTAAATGTATATTTAAGTAGACAGTGGCAGTTAACTAAAAATGTCACTGTGGGTGGCATAACAATTCTTAATCAAATAACTTCATGACGTTTTGAGCACAATTTATTGCTCATAATCATATCAATGTATTCATACAACCTGATAACTTGCTTCATATAGCTCTACTCCCATCTGTTTTTTTTTCAATATTGCAGTTTTCAATATGTCCGGGTCAGGTGTGTTGCATTACTTCGACTGCACACGTTTAGTGTAGATTTCTTGAATGCCACTCTGAGATGATAAATTTTGTCAGCTAAGGGACCTGATAAATCCAATTAGGAAAAGTAATATAATTTACCAAATACACCATGTAATGAGATCAATTATGTATAGGTCAAACTAGTAAATTTAGGTCAATTAGATTATCGAAACATAAGAATTTAGCCAAAACTAAAATAATTGACCCTGATAGATTAATTAGGAGAATCTAGAAAAAGAGCTTGGCCATTGTAGTGCGTTCAATTGAGACTAGTCGCCACACAATAAAGTGAGATAGGGTAAAAGTATTAAAAAGTACTATAGTGAGTTGGAGTGAGAGATAAGGCGAGAGAGAGAGTGAGTGAGAGGCTAATCATTGAGTCAATACCAAATACAACGTTTGACTGAAATGATACAACGCCTGTACCGCATTATAGTGGCTACATTGCAATAAAAAACCTCAGTAAGTAATGCTATATAAAGAAAGTTATCAAGTCTTGTGAATACACTGATATAGTTATGAGCAATAAAAATTGTTCTCGAAACGTCATCCAATGTTTTGATCTTGTATCACTGTGTGTTATTGTATTAAATGAGTTTATCTAATGCAAAAATCAAAAATGTATAACCTATCTGACCTGTGCTTGTGATAGATTGTAGGATCTGTGGGGGTTTGAGATTAATTCGAACTGTTAGATTTTCGTTACGAACCAGTATTAATCGGAGAGATCACTGGACAGCTGTTTCGGCCTAGCTTTTGGGACTGTTCAGCTGTGCGTGCACCTAAGACCCCTGCGGGATCGAGCCTGGGACCTTCACATTGCAAGGCCAAGCTCTTGGACCATTCAACCATTTGGGCTGGGATTCAATGACCTGTGACATGTAACTTTCAAGTATTGGCTTTGTGGGGATTTTGTTTGATTGGTTGGAGGATTTCATCATAAGCTGACACCAGTGGTTGTCTAACTGATGTCAGCACATGATAAGATCCTCCAGACAATCAAACAAAATCCCTACTAAACCAATACTTGAAAATTGATCTGATGCTCACTAGCGACTGGCCCTATTCAGGCAATTACCTGCGGTTCTAGTGGGAAGTCGTGACCAGTAGGGTACAGCAGGTTGAAGGTGAGGCAGTAACTCATCGAGGGAGACATTGCGAAGTGGTCGCACTATGTCATGCATCGGCAGAAGATCAAATTCATGGGCTGGTCATTGGATCGGGTCCCATTGACTTAATGGTCTACGAGCTCGCCTTGTAACCCAAAAGTCCTAGGTTCGAACCCCTGTGGGTGCGTACTTTTGAAAAGTCGTGAACTAGGACGAAACAAATTCCAGTACTCCCAGGTTGTTTTCTAATGGTTCTCTAACTGATGTCAGCTCATGATGAAGTCCTCCAACTAAATGTAACTTTGTCAACTTGTGATATAGTGCTGTCCTCACGAATGCGTTCGATTCGCATCTACTTCATTCTGACAAGCTTAACTTCCCACTACAGCTTCAGGATATCTATTTAGTAACCATCAGTGGTCGAGCTAGCGATTGATATTCAGTCATTGGTGAGAGCAGTACTACTACGCGAGTTGACAAAGTTAGTTCTCACGGAGCTGAATGGTCAGCGAGCTTGGTCTCGTCAGAGACGTTACCACTGAGCACTGGGTGACGCGGGTTCGAATCTCAGAAGGGACATGAGTTCCTTCAAGGTTGCAGATACGCCTTGCTGAAGAGTGCCAACTAGCACGAAACCTAGGTCCAAGGCTTCCTGCCGATTGCCTCCAACCATCTAATATCATCACAAACAATGTACACCGTGATGGCGAGCTACCTAGAATGGTGGCCATGCTGCAAACCTGACTGATAGAATTCAGTCTGCACCAAAGAGAGGACTAGACGCATCACACTAGTTACTAGTGTCAAATCAAAACAGTTGGTAGATAAGCTTATCAGGCTGCATTTGAAACTGTGTTAATTCGCTTTCAATAGGAGCTTTAAATAATTAGACCTCAGCTCATCTCTAGCCCCTGGGGGGGGGGTTGACTGTTAATCTCAACTATACTTTAAAGTACAGACTACCTGATTGAGATCATATGTAAAACAAATCCAAGTTGACTACAATAGCGTAAATAAACTCATTTTATTGGCCATCTTCGAAACTTTTATCAGCTTATGATTTTTGTTTCTGGTCTCTGTTCTGTTTCTTATTTACCTCAATGTTTCTCTCATTACGCTGACTTTTTACATGTACGCAAGTTAAGCAGTTTCAAGTTTGATCACAGATTGATATCAGTTAGAGAACCATCGAAAACCAGGGAGTACTACAGCTGAACAGCTGTTTTGCGCTAGCTTGTGACTCTTTAGCAGTAGACACCCATGAACCTACAGTTAGGAGTTGAACCCAGGACTTTCAGGTTACAAGGCCAAGCTCGCTGATCATCCAGCCACTTGGACTGGAATTCAGTGACCTGTGGATTCCAATTTATGTTAACTCGCGTTAGACAGCACAACCACCAGCAGCTAGTGTCACTGGAGGGATTATTTGTCCTCACACCCAACTAACTTGGTGGACCCTATTGGTCACTACTTCTCACCAGAAAACCAAAGAGTACTGAACAGTTGTTTCATCCTAATCTGGGACTCCCTATCAGTATGCATCCACTGGGGGTTTGAACCCAGGACCTTCCGGTCACAAGACGAGCTCGTAGACCATACAGCCACTGGGACCCGAAATGCCGGCAACACCTGGCACTCCCAGCCGGTCACTCATGTAAATACTAATCCGGCCCAAATCTGCTTAACTTCGGTGACCGGACAGAAACCGGTGTTTTCAACGTGGTGTAGTCTCCGACGACTTCGTCCTGCATTCTCTTGAATGAATGGATGAATATGCATCTCACATTTACAGATATCATTCAAGACTAATACCTCTCAAAAATAGTCTTTAATCCTTCTTTTTCTTACCACTATATTTCTCTATTCCTTTTATATTTGGTTTAAGTTTACGATATTATACATAATACAATCTTGGTAAAAACCTTCATGTCTCTAATGTTTAATCCATTTACAAGAAATGAGTAGTCAATTTCATAGGTTAACCTTGCAGTATTTTATTTACTGTCGTTACCATGGTTATCTTTGGTTTATAGTTTATAGGTGTTCTCAAATGTAATTTACCTAGATATATAGTATAGTATGTCAACCAACTTGTGTTTTTTTTTCTTGTCCATTTGAGTTGTATTGAATAATTGTTGTGATGCAGTATGGTCATTATTATTATTATTGCCACCTGCATTCATAACTCTTAGATAGAGATGGTGGGGAAGATGTGACTCATTCATTCACTTAGGCGCTGAACTTTCAAACAGAATAGAAGTTATATTTTCAATTGTGTATCTCTGCTATTTGCCTGGTGACCTTTTTAATCCCCTTGCATCGCTACCTACTTGTTTTGTATGAATATTAAGATTTGAGGGCTTTAAATGTGTCGGTGGTGGTCCGGGGCTTGACTCCCGTCAGACTCACTTCTAAACCTTGCTGCTTGGTCAGTAGTAAGACTGGTAAATAGGGAAGGTTGATCGTGCAAGACTAGAAACCTCATCCTGCTACTGAAGCCCATGTATGTTCCACTTGGAATGCGTAGAAATGACTCAGCTCATTGAATCAAATTCCCAATTTACAAGTTGCATAGTTTGAAGAGGTGAAATTTAGCCACAATTTCCTTTGGAAACCGAAATTATTGAAAGCACCTATCAACGGGAGAAATTTGAAGGAGGTCACTTCCTTCACTTATATCTAGGAAGTATCTTTTCAACTACAGGTCATGGCATGGATAAAGATTTCAAGATCAGGATCGGAAAGGCAAGGCGTGCCTTCGTCATTCTGAAATCAGTTGGGAAATCTGCACACTAGGTATAAAGGATAAAATTCGGGTTTTCAACACCAATATTAAGTCATTCAGTTCTCCTGAATGCGTCAGGAATTTGTTGCCTGCGTCACCGAAAGCATTTCCGACAGACCACTGCAGACTTCTATCAATAGTTGCCTTCACTGTCTCCATACTAAAGATCAGATTGCCCATAAGGAAGGATTAACAACAAGAAAATGTGGGAACGAACCAGCTATGAACCTATTGCTCATCAAATATATGAGGATGGGAGTGGAGATGGATTGGGCACATGCTGAGGAGACCATCGGGTGAAATCGCGCTCCAGGCCCTTGCCTTGAATGGAACCCTAGTGGGAAAGGATGAGTTGAGTGTAGATCTGAGGGTGACATGGAGGCGATCGCGTGAGACACAGTGGTTAGGACTCTCGCCGACCATGCACATGGTCCGGGGTTCGATCCCCTGCCGACGCACACCCGATATCTATGGTCGGCCTGCAAAATTTGGGCTACCGATATTCATGCTGAAAATACGGTGTGGCATCAAGCTGTAATAAAAAGAATAAGTGCCTATGGGTAGTTGTGAGTTCAGCTGATGACGACTGCAGAGAATAGGATAAAACAAAGATGTTCTGCTGAAACCCCATCTTCCACTTAGAACCCAAAGGAATAATAGTA